TTTTGGTTGCACAGGTGTAGTGTCGAAGTGTGTATTCAAAGATTATTTAGTATAAGATAATTTTGCGTTTACAAAAAGTATTAGAAAATGTCGGAAATTTCGATGTCAGAATCATCTCATAATTTTGAAACAGCGTCTGGATCAAGAGCTCGAAGTCTTTCAAGGCTCCTTGCAAACGCTAAAAGTTGCTCAAAGTAAATTTCAGGAGTCCGGATCGTGCCTTGGTAAAATTAATCCTGCCATGAATGGTAAGACTTTTGTTAGCTCTAGTATATTTATCTTATAGTATAATAGTTCTTCTAATTCCGGTATAACCATTGATTAAGGTTAAGGCACGTGAAGTTTACTTAATCTAATTTGTTTAAATAATTCTTTGCAGGCAATGAAATTCTTGTACCATTGACTGGACCAATGTATGTTACTGGGAAATTAGCGGATACAAATAATGTATTAGAGGACATTGGAACAGGATATTTTGCCGAGAAGAGTGTCGCCGAAGCAAAAGATTATTTCGATAGAAGAGTTGCTTATGTTACGTTGCTTATGTTACATTATGATACACTTAACAGTACTGCGAGTAAGATAAATTAATTATACGCATATAGAAAAACATTACTAATTATTAATTACTAATAATATTACTAACCTTCGTTTTAAAAGTATGTTCGTTAATATACTTATAATAACAGTAATATATTTAGCAAATAATGTTGGATATAATTTATGTATACAATATATATATACGATATTAAATGAATGTATATCTAGAAAATATTGAGAAATTGGCCACGAGTTCTAAGAGGCTATCGTTACAAATTTAAATCTTTATTTCCTATATCTTTACAAAATGATTAATTATAACTCACCAAAATTTCCTGCAGACACTGTGTAAATTAAACAAAACGACTAAGATCTGAAAATTAAAGTAAATTTCAATAGTATTATAAGTATAAAGCTGCAGCTGCACCGGTCGTCACGTTCTCGGTTCTAGATCTTTCCGGAAGAGAGTCCGCGAGAGTCCGAGAGTCCAACAAGAGTCCCGCATTCACTCCCATTAGTTCGCATACTACTACACGTAACTATCAGGTTGCACTTTTCACAGCCGCTATGAGATTCAAACTAACGTATTATAACTTGCGGGGTCTTAGGGTTCAAATGTTTCATTGCGAAAGTAGATAAAACGTTTTGCAATAGATAGTAAACAAAACGTTATAAACATGATATTGTTGAAAGTTCAACTTGTAAAATATTGGGTTGACAACTAAGTAATTGCCGATTTCCGTTATAGATGTCTCTCACTCCCATTTTTATGAAATCCATAAATGTTATATTATAAAGTATTATGTTATTATTATTATGTATTATATATAATATTAAGAATATAATATTTTATTATATATAATAATGTATAACATATAATAATAATAATATAATATTTTTATATATATTATTATTATTATATTAGTATTATTATACATAATATATAATAATAATATAATATTTTATTATATATAATAACATATAATATACAATAATAATAATAATATAGTATTTTATAATATAACATTTACCGACATCATAAAAATGGGAGTGAGAGACATCTATAACGGAAATCGGCAATGATTTTGTTGCCAACCCAACATTTTATAAGTTTAACTTTCCACAATATGATGTTTATAACGTTTTGTTTACAATCTATTGCAAAATGTTTTATCTACTTTCGCAATGATAACATTTGAACCCTAAGACCCCCGCAAGTTACAATACGTTATTATGAATATCATAGCGGCTGTGAAAAGCGCATCCTGATAGTTACGTGGAGTAGTATGCGAACTAAGGGGAGGTTTCTTATTGGACTCTCGGACTCTCGCGGACTCACTTTCGTAAAGATCTTGAACCGAGAACGTGACGACCGGTGCAGCTGCAGCTTTATACTTATAATACTACTAAAATTTACTTTAATTTTCAGATCTTAGTCGTTTTGTTTAATTTACACAATGTCTGCAGGAAATTTAGGTGAGTTATAATTAATCATTTTGTAAAGTTATGGGAAATAAAGATTTAAATTTGTAACGATAGCCTCTTGGAACTCGTGGCCAATTTCTCAATATTTTCTAGGTATACATTCATTATATACATATTGTATACATAAATTATATCCAACATTATTTCTTAAATATATCACTATTATTATATAAGTATATTAACGGACATACTTTTAAAACGAAAGTTAGTAATGTTATTATTAGTAATTAATAATTAGTAATGTTTTTGTATATACGTATAATTAACTTATCTTACTCACACCATTACGTTTGCAGTACTGTTAAGTGTATCAGATAAAACAAACCTTTTACCTTTTGCAAAAAAGCTGCATGAATTGGATTTAATCTTAGTTGCATCAGGTGGTACTGCAAAATTTTTAAGAGATGCTAGTATTCCTGTAAAAGATGTTTCTGCTATTACTGGAGCACCTGAGATGCTCAATGGCAGAGTAAAAACTCTTCATCCTGCTATACATGCAGGTAATTATAATTATAATTTATATCAACAAGTGAATTTTATTATCAAGTTAATAAAACATTTCATTCATACTGCGACTATTATATTACATGTATCGAATTGTAGGCATATTAGCCAGGCTCACAGAGACTGATCAAAAAGATCTTCAGAACCAAAATTATGAGCTTATTAAACTTGTAGTATGTAATCTGTATCCATTTGTAAATACTGTCTCAAAACCTGATGTTACAATCGAAAATGCTGTAGAAAATATTGATATTGGCGGAGTAACTTTATTAAGAGCTGCAGCTAAGAATCATAATAGAGTGACTGTTGTATGTGACCCTAATGATTATGACAAAGTAAGAGTAGAAATGGAAACATCAGCTGATAAAGATACTTCTTTGAAAACTAGGTATGTAGAAATCTTAATAATAGAGTAAATGCTTTTCTATCCTCCGATATAATTTTGAAATTATATTTACCATTTTTAGGGAAATATTAGCTCTCAAAGCATTTACTCACACAGCAGAATATGACAATGCTATCTCAGATTATTTCCGTAAACAATATAGTAGTGATGTTTCTCAACTAACATTACGATATGGAATGAATCCGCACCAGAAACCAGCACAAATTTATACTACTTTGGACAAATTGCCACTAACTGTAATAAATGGTTCTCCAGGTTTTATTAATCTCTGCGATGGATTAAATGGTTATCAGTTGGTAAAGGAATTAAGAACAGTTCTGAATTTACCAGCTGCAACATCTTTTAAACATGTTAGCCCTGCTGGTGCAGCAGTTGCCGTACCATTAGATATGCTAGATGCAAAAGTATGTCAAGTGGATGATTTAATAGATCATTTCACACCTTTAGCAACTGCTTATGCTCGTGCAAGAGGTGCAGATATGATGTCTAGTATTGGAGATTTTATAGCATTATCAGATCCTTGTGATGAAATTACAGCTAGACTTATTTTTAGGTAATACAAAATATGATATTATTTTTTAAACAAAAGAATTTACACTATTTATATTCATATAAATAAACTTTTAGAGATGTGTCTGATGGAATTATTGCGCCAGGTTATTCACAGAGTGCATTAAGAATCTTAAAAAAGAAAAAAAATGGTGCTTATTGCATTCTTCAGATTGATCCTACTTATGTGCCATCTTCAATGGAGCAGAAAGTTCTGTTTGGTTTAACTATGGAACAAAAGCGCAATGATATTGTTATTAATAAAGATATGTTTGCTAATATAATAACTACAAAAGTCTCAAATATACCTGATGATACTATAAGGGATTTAATCGTGGCTACTATTGCTGTGAAATATACACAAAGTCATTCAGTATGTTATGCTAAAGATGGACAGGTAATTGGAATTGGTGCAGGACAACAATCAGGATTTCAATGTACAAGGCTTGCTGGTGATAAAACCGATAATTGGTATATTTTTCTAAAACATACTTAGTTACTTGTATTATCTGAATGTTTAATTACGTATTTAATAATTGCCCGTTTTTTAGGTGGTTACGTCAGCATCCTAATGTTATTGACATGAGGTTTCACAAGGGTATAAAAAGAGCAGATATTGCAAACGCTATTGATAATTATGTAACTGGATCTATTGGGAAAGACATTGATTATCTTGAATGGAGTCGTCCGTATTTTAAAACACCAGGCGAGCTTTCCGAAAGTGATAGGTTCGACTGGAACGAAATGATAAGAAACGTTGCTTTAAGTAGCGATGGCTTCTTCCCATTTAAAGACTGTGTGGTACGAGCAGCATTGGTATGTAATTGTTTGTTGCATTATTTGTTTGTTCTAGACAACGCAATCTAGTATTTGTTAATTGCAGAGCGGTGTAAGATATATTGCAAGTCCTTCTGGTTCTACAAACGATGAAGAAGTAATAAAAGCTTGTAAAGATCGCAGAGTTACATTAGCCCACACTAATCTGGGACTCTTCCATCACTGATACAAACAAATGTGAAAAACATGTTACTCAACAAATGCTATTTTTGCTGTGTTATCGAGTAACAAGTTTCATTACATACTATCTTTTATTCACTATATGTATATACTATATATATACTATACTATACTATATACTATGTATACTATATTATCCACTGTATATACTATATCTACTATACTATGTACTAAGTATACTATATTATCCACTAATGGTTGATAATCAACTAAACAACAATTTCTAGGTTTCTACATTAGATATAAATTTGAGTTCATTTTCATAGTCCCGTGGAATCAACCACCAAAACAGTCTTCATTCTTTATTTGAAGCATGCAGCATATATACATACATATATTTACAATATGCGTTATTAATTGTGGATGAAAGAGATTTTTAATCTTTAATCGTTTGGAAATAAAGCTACAATCGAAATTTCTTTATTCTTAATTTTTGTCTGTTTATTATATTCAACTTGCGTATGTAATTAACGCTACAGGCTCTATATTCACTTCTAAAATGGTGTGTACATATACATACATGCACATTTGCACGTATGCGCTTAGAAAATTTCTAATAAAAACACCGCAGCTGCGTGTTGCATCCCTTCCCTTGTGAAATACTCTGTGGTTGTCAGTGGGCCCAGTGTTGACCGTTTTTGGTTGCACAGGTGTAGTGTCGAAGTGTGTATTCAAAGATTATTTAGTATAAGATAATTTTGCG